ATAGTACGCATTTTACCGCTATAAGATAACGAAAGCGATTTCCGCGTGTAACAACACGCCTTTGCCCTCTCGACCCCCATGGAGTTATCAGCCACGGACCACCAAGGGGCCCCAGATTCACGGAGCTCTAAATAATACAATGTGACGCTTTCGTTAATTCACATGAGAAAAACCTTATGTATGCTATAAAAACTTTTTTCAGGAACTTTTTAAACAAATAAACATGCGTTTACATTGTCTTGTTGCTGTGTTGGTTGTACTTGTTTTGATTGATGTTGGAGAGGGATACTATCGTAGATACTATCGATATCGAGGGGGTCGTAGATACTATCGATATCAAGAAGCCGATACAGACAATATTCGAGAGATAACTGTCAGTAAATGTTTGAAATGGCCCATAGTGAAATATATCGTTACACAATTCACCTGCCCAAAACGTAAGTCTATCTTTATCATAGTTGGAAATATTAGTCAAATCAATAGAAATGTTAGCTTAGATCGACCGTGTGTTATGTTTGCGTGTGTGTGTGGTTGGGGTGGGGTTGTCTAGGAAGAGATTCATAAAGATTATAGAGTTCCGTGTGTTATGTTTGTGTGTGTGTGTGGTTGGGGTGGGGTTGTCTAGGGAGAGATTCATAAAGATTATAGAGTTCCGTGTGTCATGTTTGTGTGTGTGTGTGGTTGGGGTGGGGTTGTCTAGGGAGAGATTCATAAAGATTATAGAGATAGTTCAGTCATGCCCTATTACTATAGTGAAACCCACCCAAACCGCATTATACTAAACCGACACCCTCTCTTAACCGCCATATTTGAGAAGTCCAAAAAGAATTGCTATATAATCTAACTTGGAAAAGTATGGCCCTAAAGTGGTAAATCTATAGTTACCTAACCCCTCTAAACCAGCAGATTATTTAAAGGTAATCCATTGACGCTATTAAGGTATAAACTAGGCAATCCCTACTTCATTTCACATGACTGTATGCAAGATAAATTGTCTGGCTTGAAGGGAAGTAACTTTTGTTAAGGATGGAATAGCAAAAACACAATACGACACCTGTTACTGACATTATATGAGAGAAACTGTATTTGATTTACTTAGTTTTTTTTAAAGCGAACAGGAGATCGTGGAATTGTGAGGTCAAAAGAAAACAACACTGAGTTGATCATAGGCCAGATGCATAACCATTTTCACACGTAATAATGATATTTTGTCAATTTCAGCTGATCCCTGTGCCATGATAGACTGTAATTGTAATGGGAAATGTGTTGATGGAGAATGTAAATGTAATACTGGGTTTCATGGACAGTTCTGTTCAGGTATGGATATTTATAGTCCCTGGATTTTCTACTCTAGATATCTTTTTAGTAAATGGTTTTGGTCAACAAGCTCAATAGGCCTACAAAAGAGTATACAGAGGATTCCATAAACAGTTTATTTAGACCCAGAAAAACAGTTTAGTAAGATCCCATAAACAGTTTAGTAAGACCCCATAGACAGTTTAGTAAGACCCCATAGACAGTTTAGTAAGATCCCATAGATAGTTTAGTAAGATCCCATAAACAGTTAGTAAGATCCCATAGATAGTTTAGTAAATCCCATTAACAGTTTAGTAAGACCCCATAGACAGTTAAATAAGACCCCATAAACAGTTTAGTAAGACCCCATAGATAGTTTAGTAAGATCCCATAAACAGTTTAATAAAATCCCATTAACAGTTTAGTAAGACCCCATAGACAGTTTAATAAGACCCCATAGATAGTTTAGTAAGACCCCATAGATAGTTTAGTAAGACCCCATAGACAGTTTAATAAGACCCTATAGACAGTTTAGTAAGACCCCATAGACAGTTTAGTAAGACCCCATAGACAGTTTAATAAGACCCTATAGACAGTTTAGTAAGACCCCATAGACAGTTTAGTAAGACCCCATAGACAGTTTAATAAGACCCCATAAACAGTTTAGTAAGACCCCATAGACAATTTAGTATGACCCCATAGACAGTTTAGTAAGATCCCATAGACAGTTTAGTAAGATCCCATAGATAGTTTAGTAAGATCACATAAACAGTTTAGTAAGACCCTATAGACAGTTTAGTATGACCCCATAGACAGTTTAGTAAGATATTAAAAATGTTTTTGAATGTATCTCTATTTGTATCATTACCAGAGACCATTCCGGATTGTCAAAATGGTGCAAACTTAGAGGCAGAAGATGGTAAATTAAAATGTAACTGTCCATCAGGAACATTCGGTGAAGGTTGCAGTAAGTTCTAACTAAAAATCTTTTTTCTTCTGCTGCCACCAAAAAATAATACTTATAATTATATTAAAAATAATATCACAGTCCACAGTTCTAGTAGTGACCTTGGCTCAAGTAGCTCAGAATAGGGGGTTACCAGGCTATGACTTTACAGCTGTTGCTCAACTGTCTTTTTTCAGCTAAAGATTGTGGACCTCCTCCACAAGGTATTTCATCACAGGGAGCTGTTAATACCAGTAGCGCATTTCCTAACACTGCCTTCTACACTTGTGATGAGGGACATGAACGTGTAAGTGGTAAAACTGAGATCTCGTGTCTGGAATCAGGACAGTGGGAAAGTGATGTACTAATCTGTAAACGTAAGTATGCAGCAGTTTTGTCATTGAATAAACTACCTATACACTACGTGAGCCAACAATTATCAATATCATTTCAAATCTTGAATATTGAACTAGTGAATGTGTAGGAAAATATGTGACACTTTGATAAACGTGTTCCTTAGCTTATCTGAAAGTTTTAGCCATCAAATCCATGTGTGTCAAGAATTATCCGCAATTGAATGTTAAAACAATGACTGTCATTTCTTGGGTCATATATAGGAAAGATATAATAATATAGAAATAGAAAGTGAAATTCCTAGTTTAAGATATTAATTTAGAGATTATTGTACTTTCCTAGTACTTCTCAAGACTACATATATTCAAGACCCAAGAGAGCGAATCTGTCACTTTAACTTAAAGTATACTCACACAGGCATCTGTTTCTATCAATAGTCGACTCTCTCTATGATAGTATATATGAGAATGTGGCCAACTCTAGTCACGACCAACTCCGCTTCAGACGATTTTCTACCATTTACCGTAATGAAACATGATCCCAACCTTATATGAATCGTTTCATAGAATAGTTTCCCTTTAGACAGGACCTTTTTTATATCTCCCTCAGTGTTCCCCTTCATACTAATCTAACTATTGTTCATTAAAAATACTAAAAAAATGTACACCCATCGTTTCAATGTATATACTGTTCAGTTTTCTCCTTTACACTCTTACAAAGCCAGACTTGTCATTCTACTTCTATTTCAGTGACAGATTGTGAATCTAAACCACTTGATGTAATTTTTGTTGTTGACTAATCAGCATCAGCTGATCCTGATAATTTCTCCAAAATGAAAAACGCAATAGCAGATTTCATTTCATCAAGTTTCGAAGTTAGTCCGACGGAAGTTAATGTTGGCTTTGTAGCTTTTTCTTCAGATCTAACGGAAACAAAATTTCTTTCAAGTGACCCCAATCAATTGCTACCAGATATCCGTGATCTAATGCAAGAAGGCGGCTCTGGTAATTTCGCATTTGGTATTTCTGAAGCTGTCGATGATTTTGGGGCACGGGGTCGACCTGGAGTCTCGAATGTGTTGATACTGCTATCTGGTGGAAAATCGACTGGCAGTCCTCAGGCTATTGCGAATATTGCCAAAGCAGCAGGAATTGATATCTTTACCATAGGAATTGGGCCTGGTGTCGATAGGGTTGAGATGATAGATATTGCTTCCGATCCTTCTAAAGCTAGATTTGTTGACACGTTTGATGAAATACTGGAAGCACTTGCAAATGTAGACGTAATTAACAATCTTTGTCAATGAAGTTTATTCAGTTTACAATAAATTATAATGCAGTTGTGTTGTGTTATTAATGTTTTAGCACCTGTGGGTCAGGGTAAATCATTTAACAGAGAGCTTACTCTGAAAGTATACGCATTGCTTCACCTCTTCAAAACCTTGAATAGTCTGATAGAGCAGTTTTCTTATACATTTACAGGATATTTTGTTTTCAATTCATGTTGGTGCTCTTTTCGGTTCAAATTGTGGAACCTTTGATTTTCCTTCTGTTGGCAGTAAAAACCTGTAATTTCTCGGATAAGAAACACGTGGCTATAGTTTTGTAGCAAAGATCCGTTGATATCTGGATCAAAGCTGAAGCTTCAAAATATGTCATCATTACTGGCGATTCTATGAATAATTAGGAATGTTCGAGTCAGGGCCACAGAAGAGACAGAGGGAGGGGGAGGAGGAGGAGGTATATGATATTGGCATGGTTCTGATAATGAGTGATAATGAGAATACACATGCGAGTGATGGTGAAGGAAGGGCATATTTATTGCTGCAGATTTTGCTGTCCACATCTCGGTAATATTTGGATTTGTATATACGAATTTCACTGGTCATAAAGTTACGAAATTGCTAGCAGATTTGCCAATTATTTTAGTAAGTTTCTAAGATGTGGGCATGGGTGGCTTTCATCTGTACCATTCCCGGAGCTTGCTCGCGTTGTTGCTGTGTCACTCGTGGCAACATTCTTGTGATATTTTAATCGCTGTGTAAGCCATGCATTTGTATGTATTTCAAAGTAAAAAATAAACAAGAGCCACACGTGGCACAGAGTGGGACTTTGTAAATGTAGCAATTTGCTAAAGACTCTGAAAAAATCAACCATCGACGATAATTAGGTCAAGCGCAAGAACGGTCTAAAGTTAAGAAATTTTCATTATTTAGAAGATTATAATATCGGAAGTAGACGCCAGACCTCACAAATGAAAGTATCAGCAGATAGCCAAGGTCAATGACCTTTGATCTTGTAAAGGAAAAGGTCTAAAAAGAGCAAGATCAAGAGATATAAGTCATCAAAATTTCAAATTGCACACGGCCATAAAACCGGAAGTGCACATGGGACAGCAAATATAAATGTCTAAATAGATAGCCAATGCCAATGACGTTTGATTCTACAAAGGTCAAAGGTCAACAAAGGTCAAGGTCAAAAATTGAAAATTGTGAATTTCCAAAACCTGTTCCTCTTTTAGAACTATGAAGCTGAAACAATCGAACTTCTAAGACAAAGTGTTTCAAAAGTTAAGGTAATCTTATGCAAAGATTCATTTTAAACAAATGTAAATTTAACCCGGATGTGCCACGTCCATCTTTTTTTTTTGGCATAAGTTAATTGATATTCTGAATGTTATGTTGTGTTTCAAATTTAAAGCTTCTACATCATACAGGTCAAAAGATATAGGTCAACAAAAGTCAATAAAGGTCAAAATCGAAAAATGAAAATGTAGAAATTTTAAAACCCGTTCCTTTCTTTGAACTATAAAGCTGAAACAACTGAGCTATTAACAGAAACTGGCCGAAATAATGAGGCAATTGTGTGCAAAGTTCCTTTTTGAACCAAAGGTATCCCATGCGAGTTATTCCCTTTTCCCAAAATGTAAACACTTAGTAATTCAACCCGGATGTGCCACGCCCACATCAATTTTTTGTCATAGGTGAATTCCTATTCAAATGTCTAGTTGTATTCCAAATTTCAAGCTTCTACATCGAACAGGTCATTAGATACATACACCAAGCTCAAAGAGACACAAATATTGTAAAAAAAAAACCACTCAAATTTGAAAAAATCACGAATTTAAAAAAATACGATTGTTATATATCGGTGGAAAGAGCTTGCGAAGTAGGAAACCGAAAATATTAACCCTCTAGGTTAATTAGGTCACGTACTAGAGCAGTCCAAAGTTGAGAATTTGACTGTTTTCGGACAGCTATAAAACCGGAAGTGCATGCCGGAGGTCAAATGTCAAAGTATCAACTGATAGCCAAGGTCAGTGGCCTTTGACCTTATAAAAGTCAAGGTCATCAAATGTCAAGGTCACATGATATGAGCGTTTAAAGTTTGAAATTTCAACCGGAAGTTGCAAAATAGCAAAAGCGAAATTCAAAATGCGGCTCCCAACGTTTTTTGCGCAATCGATTGCGGAATACAATTCATTAGATGGTTTGGTCAGTGAGCATATGGTCACTCCATTAGGACAATTAGAGGCTAGCTATGAATATTGGTCGATCACAGCTAACGAGTATATTATGTAGTATGGATGTAGTAAATCGGGGCTACAAAATTCCGTTTATGACTGAACCCTCATGTGTATTCATAGAAAACTTCACGACATCAAACGTGAGACGTCACGAAATAAAACTTCACTCTATTACAATTCATGGACAGAAAATAATCTTATCTTTAGTACGTAACAAGAAAACAACGTCGGTAGATTTGTCCTTAGATTACGTCAATAGAGATGAGACTTCATTGACATCCCAAGTGATGTTATACGAAAGATTAAGATATAAACAATAAATTTTATATCAAAATTAATTACTGTTATAAACGAAAACCATCACAATCTGTCAAGATTACCAACTGCTCCCACCTCCTCTCATATATCCTCCATTTCCACCCATCATCCTTTCCCAATATACCCTCCTCCCATTCCGCCGTATCCACCACCGCTACCATATCCAAAATTTCCGTATCCCATTCCACCGTATCCACCACCGCTACCGTAGCCAAAATTTCCGCCGTATCCACCCATTCCGTATCCACCATAGCCGCCGCCCATTTTTCCATACAGTCCCATTAAATTTCCGTTTCCAAATCCTCCGTAACCGCCCATCATTTTGCCGTAACCTCCAAAAGTAGGATATGACATCATGGGATATCCGCCTCCAAAACCCCCACCTCCGTATGATCCGGATCCAGATCCAATATAGCCACAGGATACGACTACTATGGTGATATACATACACAATAAAGAGATGATTCTGGAATTCATGTTGATTGTCTGAAAGAACAAAAATGAAGGTCAATACACTGTTAAAAATAATAATAATAATAATAATTCTCTCCAGACCAGAGGTTCCCAACCTTTCTCAGCCTTTACACCCCTGGAGCAATTACACCCCCAAAATTTGTTTCACACAGAGGTGCTTTCTCAATTCAAAATAAATTCTTCTCCTACACTAGTTGACCACACCCCTGACACCCCAGGTTGGGAACCAGGGCTCCAGACAGACTGTTCTAGGTTATTGACCCAATACCTGATTCGCCAATTCACATGCATTACTATTAAAATTATATAGTTCTTAAAACTCAAGGATCCAGAACCTGAAAAATGTTGTTATAACTCAAAATTCCACGCAATGCGAAATTCGGACAACTGATATATTTTCAGCCGGCCAACAGCTGTCTGGCGAATAGCTTAAAACTCTGATTAGTAACGTCATAGGTTCTGTTATTAAAAAAAATATAAAGTCTCTACAATTGATGTACTGAGCACTATTTTAACAGTGGTATTTCTATATATCTCTACAATTGATGTATTGAGCACTATTTCAACAGTGGTATTTCTATATCGCTCTACAGTTGATGTATTGAGTACTATTCTAACAGTGGTATTTCTATATATCTCTACAATTGATGTACTGAGCACTATTTTAACAGTGGTATTTCTATATATCTCTACAATTGATGTACTGAGCACTATTTAAACAGTGGTATTTCTATATATCTCTACAATTGATGTATTGAACACTATTTTAACAGTGGTATTTCTATATATCTCTACAATTGATGTATTGAGCACTATTTTAACAGTGGTATTTCTATATCGCTCTACAATTGATGTATTGAGCACTATTTTAACAGTGGTATTTCTATATCTTTCTATAATTGATGTATTGAACACTATTTTAACAGTGGTATTTCTATATCGCTCTACAATTGATGTATTGAGTACTATTTTAACAGTGGTATTTCTATATCGCTCTACAATTGATGTATTAACAGTGAAAACCACCACAAGAATCGTAAAAAAATATAAAAAAGAAGATCAAATCACATTGCAGTCCGAGAAACTCGACATATATACTGAGATGAACTGAATGAATATTTACTGAGCGCTAATTATTAAATTTCTCAAAAGAAAAGGAAAATGAGTGGAAAAGTAAGCTTTTGAGAAGAGAATACTTGAGAAATAAATACAATGAAGGAATTTAATCCCATCTCAAATCAACATTACAACATTCTGAGTAGTATATATACCACGGTTCTTATGACTTGAAATATCTAAACATGATTTAAAGGACAGTGGAAACATTTTTTAACCAATCATATCCTAGTCAGAAACGAGAATGTATTACCCAATCCAATCAGTAATAGAATTCACAGATCATCGTCAGAGTCCAGAGTTATCCGCTCTTGAAATTTAACAAGGCGAGTCGTCTTTTCTTGATACATTGTCATATATAGAAAAGACATCTTTAGAGATCGAAAAATAAATTCCTAGTTTGAGATATTTTTGAAAGAATTTATGTGGTTTTACTCTAGAATACTATTTACATATATTCAAGACTCAAATCAACCCCTCAAAAATGGCGCACCGTTTCTTTAAATATGTTAATTAGTAAGACATGTGGGATATATGACTTGTAGCTTATATAAAATGATTGACAGATTGATGATATTACGAAATTAATGACGTTACCATTTTATCCAATGCAATTAAATCTTGTGCAAGTCGTGAGTATTAAATAAAGGGGTGGTGCTTCAGCCGTGTAAATCACATAATAACATCACAATAGACTGTCTATTGTATACCTAAGCTCCACCTACTTTTCCTTTAAGACACGTTTGGCTTTTATGTCCAGTTATCCAAATATGCTACAACAACAAATTGATGACAATAGACCATGGTTTTTCTCGAACACACATTTTAAGTAATTTATTTCTTAAAAACGTTAAAGAAAAAATGCAATATGTGTCACAATTAAAATTAGTTCGCTTCTTCTTCTCGAATTTTAATTAGACTTAAGTTAATAAAGTTATTCTACATTTCAGCCTTACCTTATAATACTATACACACTGACACAACTGGTCAAAAATATCCTCAATTTCTTATTTCCTTATTTAGAGGAGTATTATATAGATATTCAAATAATAATGACGTCATACTCGGGCTTTATTGTCCATGAATTACACAGTCTATTGATTACCATTACAAGTTCTCATCTATATATCAAAGGGAAACATTCCGAAATTAACGAAAGATCAGCGAAACATGCATATTTGATGCAAATTAACGGGTAGATGTCACCAGTCAAATCGTCAAGTCGGAGAAAGGTAGAGCTGCACCAATCATCTTCCGAGGGTCAAAGTTCGTAGGTTTGAGTTTTAATTACAAGAGATAAAGTGTATCATCCTTTCGAAAATAGTTCAAAATGTATAAAACTATAGCGACTTAATACATTCTTTACCAACTGATAGGGCTCAATTTCAGCTGTCTGTAGAGTCGTCTTAATATTTACTTTACCAGCTGATAGAGCTCAATTTCGGCTATCTGTATAGTCATCTAAATATTTACTATATCAGCCAGTAGAGCTCAATTTCAGCTATCTGTGTAGTCATCTAAATATTTACTATATCAGCCAGTAGAGCTGAATTTCAGCTATCTGTAGAGTCGTCTTAATATTTACTTTACCAGCTGATAGAGCTCAATTTCGACTATCTGTATAGTCATCTAAATATTTACTATATCAGCCAGTAGAGCTCAATTTCAGCTATCTGTATAGTCATCTAAATATTTACTCTATCAGCCAGTAGAGCTCAATTTCAGCTATCTGTATAGTCGTCTTAATATTTACTATACCAGCTAGTAGAGCTCCATTTCAACTATCTGTATAGTCATCTCAATATTTACTATACCAGCTAGTAGAGCTCGATTTCATCAAACTGTATAGTCGTCTTAATATTGTCGTTACCGGCTGATATAGCCCAATTCCATGATTTCAATGTCGCTCTACAATTGCTGTATTGGGCATTGTTTTAACAGTGAAAATATTTTATTGTATAGAAGTCTAAATGATAATATTAATATTATTTGTTATTCAGGGTTTAAGGCTATGTGATTGAGATCTTCAGACATCTGACCTATTTTCAGCCTGTGTCACTAGGTATATTGATATACTCATGAAATACTGAGTTATACTAATTATATTTACGGTGAAAATTATTGATTATTATTGTAGAAGTCTAGATATATTTACTTTAGCATCTGATAAACACGGTTCAGGAAAGTAGGATGTAAAACTCCCTTCATTTCATTTACAACTAATAGAGCTCAATTTGAACAATCTATAATGTAAACATGCACTATCCACTACTAGAGTAAATATACAAGATACACCACTAGAGTAAATATACAAGATACACCACTAGAGTAAATATACAAGATACACCACTAGAGTAAATATACAAGATACACCAATAGAGTAAATATACAAGATACACCACTAGAGTAAATATACAAGATACACTACTAGAGTAAATATACAAGATACACCACTACAGTAAATATACAAGATACACTACTAGAGTAAATATACAAGATACAATACAAGAGTGAATATACAAGATACACTACTAGAGTAAATATACAAGATACACCACTAGAGTAAATATACAATATACACCACTAGAGTAAATATACAAGATACACCACTAGAGTAAATATACAAGATACACCACTAGAGTAAATATACAAGATACACCAATAGAGTAAATATACAAGATACACTACTAGAGTAATATACAAGATACACTACTAGAGTAAATATACAAGATACACTACTAGAGTAAATATACAAGATACAATACAAGAGTAAATATACAAGATACACCACTACAATAAATATACAAGATACACCACTATATTAAATATGCAAGATACACCACTATATTAAATATGCAAGATACACCACTATATTAAATATGCAAGATACACCACTATATTAAATATGCAAGATACACCACTATATTAAATATGCAAGATACACCACTATATTAAATATGCAAGATACACCATTATATTAAATATGCAAGATACACCACTATATTAAATATGCAAGATACACCACTATATTAAATATGCAAGATACACCACTATATCAAATATGCAAGATACACCACTATATTAAATATACAAGATACACTACTATAGTAAATATACAAGATCCACTGCTAAAGTAAATATACAAGATACAATACTAGAGTAAATATACAAGATACACTACTAGAGTAAATATACAAGATACACTACTAGAGTAAATATACAAGATACACTACTAGAGTAAATATACAAGATACAATACAAGAGTGAATATACAAGATACACTAAAAGAGTAAATATACAAGATCACTACTAGAGTAAATATACAAGATCTACAACTAAAGTAAATATGCACGATGTACCACTAGAGTAAATATACAAGATACACTACTAGAGTAAATATACAAGATACACCACAAGAGTAAATATAAAAGATACACCACTATAGTAAATATATAAGATACATTACTAGAGTAAATATACAAGATACACCACTATGGAAAATATAGAAGATACACTACTAGAGTAAATATGCAAGATACACTACTAAAGTAAATATACATGATCCATCACTAGAGTAAATATAAGTAGTATATGTCTTTTCGGATATGACGCATTTCACTTCTGCGCATGCGCAGCTTTTTCAATGCGTCATATCCGAAAAGACACAACTGTTAAAATTATTATAACAGACTCCCCAAACTGTTAAAATGTATTATAAAAGACTCCCCAAACTGCTAAAAATGTATTATAACAGACTCCCCCAAACTGTTAAAATGTATTATAACAGACTCCCCAAATTATTAATATTATACAAGATACACCACTATGGAAAATATAGAAGATACACTACTAGAGTAAATATGCAAGATACACTACTAAAGTAAATATACATGATCCACCACTAGAGTAAATATAAGTAGTATATGTCTTTTCGGATATGACGCATTTCACTTCTGCGCATGCGCAGCTTTTTCAATGCGTCATATCCGAAAAGACACAACTGTTAAAATGTATTATAAAAGACTCCCCAAACTGCTAAAAATGTATTATAACAGACTCCCCCAAACTGTTAAAATGTATTATAACAGACTCCCCAAACTGTTACATCTCTCATCCCCAAAGTGGCCAACTTTGTCTCAAACAACTAATTTCCTCAGGAGAAGATGCAGTGAAAAGATCTAACGAGTTGAAAGAATTACAACATATAAGAGAAATGCGAAATAAAAACCTCAACTGATTAATGGGAGGTAACACTGTTTATACACAGTTAGTTGTCTAGAGTATTATTGATTTAATAAATTATCTTTAACGCCTAGTAACAGTCACTCGTCTATTGTTCACTGGATATATGTCACGCTATAATTAACATATCACGCGTGCAACGTCAGCACAGATAGTCTGGACTCTCAACTGTTAGCCATGTTTTTGTTGAAGATTAGGAATTTAATCATACAAAAATCAAGGTATGTTTTTTTTTGTTTGATTTAATCATAAGACGGCAGGGTAGAATTAAGATTAATTTGCTGTTTTATTCAAAATATCCATTTTGTTTTTGTTTTATTCCAGTTTAATAGATGCCAACATTTAATATCACGAAGAATATTTAAACCATCGGTAAGGGGATAGAAAAAGGCCAAGAATTTTTACCAAACTCTGTGACAAATATCCAAGGTTTCAAAATTGTTGATATAGATTTTCGAAAAATAGAGCAAAGGATGACGAGCGATCCTAATAAGAGCGGTCATAGTTATCTCCCGTCTTACACTATTGGCAGTCATCATTTAAATGTCATGACCGCTTTTATTCGGATCGCTTGTGACCTCATTTTTCAAACCGTTCTTATTAGGATCGATCGTGACATTTCATAAAATGAATCATTTCTATCGCTTGAATAGTTTTCTCCTTGTATTAAATCTTTCGTATTAAAAATATATGGTGTTTATTGAACAAATATGTCTTTAATAAATGTCCATCCTCCTAAAACGTATTTCTTTGCGGGAGACATTCAAAAGTCATTGGGTTCTCTTCCTTGATTCCCATGGGCAAAATATCCCAGAGAAAAACATCTCCCAGGGCACAATTATACAGGTCCAGGCACTAGGTTAGATCTACGATTGGACGAAAATGATAATCCCAAACCAGGGGAAGAACCCGTTAATAGAGTTGACGCAGCAGCGCTCAAACACGACATACTGTACAGAAACAAAGACATAACATTCAGACTCCAAGCAGACAAACAAATGATAGACGAACTCGAAAATATTCCCAATCCCACTTTCAAAGAGAAATTACAGAGGGTTCCTATCATAAAACTTTTGAAAATTGAAATTGGGTATGGACATAGCAGACGAGATTACAAATAATTTCGAAAAAACAAACATTACCTCAAAGTCAAAGTTTTTGATAAAGATGAAATTTAGTCAGCCGATTTAATCAACATGCCAGTCGAGAGAGGGTACAAGTATTGTTTGACAGTGATCGACATATACACGAGATACGCTTGGGTCTTTCCCTTGAAAAACAAATCGGGTCTGACTGTCAAACAAGCATTCGAAACCATAATGAAACAATCCGACAGACGATCCCTAAAGTTGTGGGTTGATAAAGGAAGCGAATTCTACAACAGAAATGTGAAATCTCTGGGGTTTGAAATTCGTCTATAGGTGTGACGCCAACACAAGCCTCGAATAACCCTAATATCATAAAGTCCGTCAACACTCGAAACAACTTTGAAAACGAGATTAGCAATTTGAATATTAAACCCAAATTCTAAGTTGGAGATCGAGTTCGTATTTTTAAATATAAATCATTGTTTCAGAAAGGTTACGTCGAGTTTTGGACTAACGAGATATTCATCGTTGATAAAATAAATAGCACATCACCTCCCACGTATGAATTGATCGATCAAGACAAAGAACAAATCATAGGAAGGTTTTATCAAAATGAACTTCAAAAAACTGACTTTTAAAAATGAATCTCGAAAATGAAGTTTTAGATGAAAGATTAAGAAATTAAGATGTCAACAAGCATTTACGCTTTCTTAAATTAAGATTTTTTAAATTTAAATGTAAATTTATCTTCCAAATATTATTGAATGTGTTTTATCAGAATGTTATACAAGTTTTTGCAAACACAAACTACGTATATATTTCGTCAATTGGGTCTTCAGCAATACTTACCGCCTACTTCGAAAAACATAACACCTCAAAAACTGACTTTTAAAAATGAATGCGTTTCTCGATAAATACGGAAAAGACACGACCACAAACTTTCAACTTGTGAAATGGGCCAAGGAATTGAACGTCTCGCCGTTTTATTATTGCATGCGAGATGAAATTGATGAACTGAAATACAAGAAAGGTAAATTTTACGCCATCACAAACATTCATACGTCGGATCAAAAAGGAGTTCATCACTCTGCTCTACACAAAGATTCTTTGAATAACTTTTATTTCTTTGATTCTTTCGGTCTAGAACCGACAGAAGAGATAACGAAATTGACTAGCAGAACTAGACAAGACTGCGGACAAAACCGAGTTACAAAATTCAGTATCCAAATTGAACGAAAAGATCGCGAAGCAAAAATCAGATGTTCAAGATATAATTAACACACTTCCCATTGACAAAGATACGTTGAAACAACAATTGACTGCTTTGGATACTAAAATCACGGACGAATTAGCAAAAGAAGTGGGTGTGATTAAAAACTTTCTTCAAAATAAATTTCGAGATGATATGAAAAATTATATTAAAGAACAGGTCAATCTTCTGGTATCTAGAATTCATGACGATTTTTTGAGACAAGAGAGAAAGTTGACCAAATTAGAAGCTAATGTCACGAACAAGTCGTATTATTTCAATCTTCAATTCGAAAGTGACACTGTCTTCGATGAAAAAGACCAAATTTATAAATCAAACAAATACGGATTCAAAGCAGAAATAAAAGTTTAAAATGGAAGTAGAAAATGATAAGGATATCATTGGAATCAAAGATTTAGATATGATATTGGAGACGGAAAATCCACCATCAACCAACATTGTCAAAATTCCACGACGCTTACACGTACACGGATCAATAGAATCGAGCAGTCACGAGTTTTTACGAACAACAGACTTTGAATACGTAAAACTGTATTTCGCTTTAGGTGAAAAATACACCTCGATCGATGTTCATAAAAGTCAACAAGAACGAGAGTTTAAAGTGTATTTATCGTTTGCCGAAAACTCCATCCTTGATGCTGGTGGTTTTATTTTTAGAACCAAGAAAAACATCGAAAAAGAAAAAATAAAATATTCCTATCATCTTAAAGAGGACCATACGAAAAAAGAAATGTCGTTAGTACGCGTAAATGTTTTTACTTTTAATACCCGCAAATATAATAATGCTAGGGCAAACAAGCACGCTCTATACGATATTCGGTTCACTTAATTTAACGACTTAAAAAATGGAACTCGAAAGCAGACAACAATAGACAAACAAGAAGAGTTGAAAATGAAGTTAAGACAGTACAATTCATGCAGGAAAACGTGGAGTAGAATCAATTCTTTTTTCAAAACAGCGAGCACAGTTCTAACGGTAGGAGTAACGGTGGCAACGGCCGTGACTGGTGGATTAATGCTTCCGGTCATCATCCCAACCGTATTGGCTGCATGAACAGCCGTTCAAACGACCTCTTGCGGCCTCATCACTTTAGGTTTTACAAGCAAAAAGAAAGCTCATTATAAAAAGAAAACGGATATCTTGAATCTGTATCTTAATCAATTGTACATCTTTTTCGAAAGATCGAGAGAAGACAAGAACATAACAGTTGAAGAATTAAAAGAATTCAATGAAATTCTGGACAAATTCCATACAGAAATATCAGCGGTCAAAATTAAGAAATAATCAAAAATATAGACTTAAAGAAATATGAATAAAATCGAACACGATAAAACATTGATAGAAAACGTCCTATTTTCCGATGTTATCAAGGCTGTTTCCAATAAATTTAAAACATTCAAAGGACAAATTAAAATAGAGAGATAGTCGAGGAAGGGAATCACAGACAAAGCATGTCATTCCTCGGTTTCAATGCCAAAACTTTTCACAATATCTTTTCAAATATGGACAAAAAATCTGATGCTTCCGATTGGTATTTTACAGGAAAAATAATTTTAATGAAAGACAATTTCCAAGAAATCAAAAGATCGAGAGTTGGCAGAGGAGGAACTGATCTACTTAAAAAGATAAATGAATACGAATGCGAAAATTGTTACATACCTACAGATGGTCACTGTTTTATCAAATGCGTCAATCGTGTTTTGAACAAAGATTTAACGTGTAAAAATATCAGTTTCACGTGTTCCTACCAACATGAGAAAACTAGTTTGGCTGCATGGGGAAATTCGTCCAATCTTCCCGCGAATTTGAGAAAGATTGCCGACGTAGATATCGCTAAATACACCCAAGACAACTGGGTGGAATTGAGAGACGTATGGGAACCATATGCAAAAAGGGAGCTTTTTTTTGTCTTGGAGCTTGTTTGATAAAATATAACCAAGTCATGAAAGAAGTTGTAAACCAGAATATATCCAATAATCTAACGGCTCCGCCTTTATCTTTAAAGGGTTGGTATTATTTGTATCATTACGATAAAGAAATGGTAAGAAAGGAAGAATGGTATGAAACTACTAGAATGGTTCCGAAACATACCGAAAAAGAAAACGTAGAAAAAGTTTATTCGCACACTAATCCTTTTATAAGAAATTTTATCAGACGATCTATTAAAGGAGGAAGAGTTTCGGCAAATAGAAAATCATTTGAAACGAACAAAATGGACGAAATTTGTAACGTATTAAAGGAATATATTTCACAAAGTGACACAGAACTTGAAAGTAATAACATAATTGATTTATTCAAAGAATACAGCGTAAGCACAAAAGACAAAACGGAGGTTCATTCGAGACTTAAAAAAATAAACTGTACTAAACTAATGGCATTTGATGCTAACGGTTTATACGCTTCCGCCATGTCGGATTTAGACAGTGAATATCCGAAAGAAGAAAGTGGAAGACCGTTTCTACCAGAAGAAGAAAAAGAATTTGTAAAACTCTTCAATAAACAAAAATTCAGACCTAGAACAGCTATTTTAACAGTGTGGTTTGAGTATCCCAAAAACATGTTCTTCCAACCGATACCAGCTAAAGATAAAATCACTTTCACGAATAAAGAAGGTAAAAAGAAAACGGGTAATAAAATCAGGTGCAGAAATGGTTTCTGTCACGACGTTTTAACATCGGTTGATATTCAAGAAATAGTTAAAGCCGGTGGACGAATTATTAGAATATTTGATGGTATAGTATACGAAGAAAATTTTAAAACTCCACCCTATAGAGATTATAGTTTAATTTTGAGAGCTCTAAGAAATAAATATAAACGAGAAGGTAATATCGTGGGTAGTAATTGCATGAAATTATTAGGTAATTCCTTGTATGGTAAATCAATTCAGAAAGATATATTCACAACTAGACATTTATGGAATGAAGCGACTTTACAGGCTAACTTTGATTCACGTGTTAAAACCTATGAGAAAATTAATGATAGTCAATATATTGTTGAAACAGAAATTGAAGAAAAAGAGACCGAAGATAGTAAATCTACACGACTAACACCTAGTCATTTGGGATCATTCGTTTTATCTCACAGTAAAAAAATAATGAACAATTTCATTCACGTCATAAATGGATTTTATAAACCCGAAATATACTATACCGACACCGATAGTTTGTACATTTCATCCAACAATTGGAAAAAACTAAACAGAGCTGGTTTGGTCTCCGAAAAAGACTATTGCAAAGGTAAAAACGATTACGGTGACGGTGGAATTATATTTGGTTTATATTTAGCACCAAAAGTCAAATACAACATCGTTTTGACTTCTGATGGTGTTTTAAAAGAAAAGAAAACATTTAAATGTTATTCTAATGATAAGATAAGTGTAGAAGATTACGTTCAGTTAGCAAGAGGACATGATGTGTCGAATGAATTTAATAACCATGGGAAATAAGTTTCACCAATGGAGTAGTTATTCCAAATGATAAACAAACTAAAGTTTTTAGAAGTTATTTGAATAATGTTAAAAGAAAACCACCAAACAGTGAAGCAATAATGTATCCTTACAACGACAAAGACGAGTATAGTTTTGACGAAAACTATGAATTTGATGATTTCGATTATCTTACTATTCAAGAAGAGAATGAAGAGTGTAAATGAAGTTGAATGACAATTTCTTCGTTGCCAAAGTCTATGAACCTGTTTTTACCGTCTTCGATTTCCAGATTTATATCTTTGATCATAAAAGAATTGACTGGTAAATAGGTCGTTTGAAACGGTTTCTCTATAATTCTGTATCCGATCGGCACCGTAAAAGTCGGTATGCGGTATATGATTTGGCGTTTGTGCTTGTTGAAAAATCCACCGTTGATCAAATTACAGTGAATGTTGATCACGTCGATGTCGTTCTCGATGTTGGCCTTGTGTGGCGCCAATGTCGATTGCGCGTATATTCGTTTATCGAACCCTAGTAACGCATTCAACGAATTTTCTACGTTGAAATCGACTTGACTGTTATTTCTCAAGATCAGTTTTATTTTGTTCAGATTCAAATTACCTTCGAATTCGATATTGTTTTTACCGCTCACGCTTCCTGCGTATTCGGATAGGTAATCGCTGATGGCTACGTATTCGTAGCTTCCCAGTAGTAAGCTTATGGTTTTGAACGTAACTCCGTTATCCGTCGATATTTTTAGTTGATTGTTGTTTTCGTTGATATTTCTAATAGAATTGTAAACGGAGAAATACTTTAATCCCAGTTCGTACTGTTTATTGCGATAGAGTTCATACTCGTAGTCTAGAGACAATTTGATGTCTGATTTATTCGAGGTGATAACGAACAATTGCTCTTTATTGGACATTTTTAATGACGTTTATATAGTCTTTTTTAGTGATGATTTTTTTCTCCAAAAGTCGTTTTAATATGGCATTGACTTCGTTGTATTGTCTGTCCGATCGATGACCTTCCTTCATGGCCGCTAATATTACTCGTAATCTATTAACTAGTTACTCGTTGTTGTCGGATAAAAAAGTTATACCTTGTCCAGATGCCACCATATCATCGAATTCGTCTATTTCTTGTTTGATTGGATAATCTTCTGCATAACCATCTACCTCCTCTTCCTCAATTGTTATATATAAATCAACTTCTTTCAATCTTCTTGTTTCGGGTCCTGACTTTCTGATCGCATTTAGAAATTTTGAGTATGCTACTAAATCCTTGTAATCGGCAATTTCAACGTCCTCGCCATTCATTAAATCTATAAACCCTCTCGTTAATGTAAATATAAAGTCTTTTGTGTCGATTTTGAATTGTGGTGAATTTCCACTAAATCTTATTCTAAAACCATTGAACAACAAACCCACTTCATCAATGATTGGTGAAATGCTCTTTGGTAAATCTGGGTCAGGGTTTGAAAAAAGACGTTTTATATCGTCTAATGTCTTAATACCACCATATTCAATCGGTGGATCTTTATGGGGTGAAGGTTCTATAGCGGGTCTCTTTTTAATATCCTCTTGAGATTTTAATATGGGTTGAAATAGAGTCTGTAGATTTTCCGTTAATCCGAGTTGTAATCTGTTATTTTCAACTTGGGTCTTTATTTTATTCTTAGCTTTGATATATTCTCTATTTCTTTTTAAAAAATTATTCCAATCCGTCATTTTTAAAAAAATAAAATTAACATATGTCGATCATAACTCTTTCTCTCGCAGGTTTTCTAGTATTAACAAATACATATCCATGATCATCCGGGTTTCTCCATTGAGCTTTACAAACGCGTCTCTGTCCATTCCGTGATTTATCGACTGAATGATTTGAGATAAATCTTTTTCGTTTAATTTGAATAATAAAAAACAATTTGCGTTCTTTCTGATAAACATGGCGTCCATTCTGTAAAAGGATTGGGATTGGTATATGCAGTGACAGTTGTGATGTCTTCCTTTCGTGAAGAATTCTTGTTGGACGGTTTGACTTTTTTGTGCCACGCAGTCGTCAAAGACAATCAAGTTCTTTCGGTGGTTGTCGATTTTAGACAAGTCTAAATCGTTGACGTTTTTAGTCAGAAACACTTTGACGTCGGTCGGTTTCAGAGAAGGATTCTTTTCTTATATAAAGCCGTCTAAAATGTCTTTTATTTCCGCGTTCTCTTGCAAGTCTTCGTTGCTTTTGTAGTAGTGAAAAATGTCTTTAACTTCTTCTTTCGAGATGTATTCCAAAGCTTTGAGAAACTGGTAATAGGATTGTTCGGGAGTAGTCGTGTAAATATACAGAGACCCGAAATCTAAAAGGTTCGGTGTTGTCAACATGTTAAAAGTGAGGTAAGTCTTTCCAC